TCCCAGGAAAGAATGTCGCTGCTTTAAGTATCAGGAAAGTGGGCAAAGATGAAAAAACCTCTACCCGTCCTGTAAGCTATAGAGCAGGGTAACAGTGCAGTGGCACGAACGGCTGAGGAATATGGTAGGTGGTGACAGACTCAGCGGATGAGTCTCCATTATAAAGCAGCAGCAAGGCTGCTCAGTGGACGTGTATTCAAAGCCGGGCTGGAGCTCCCTGCAGGGGCCTAGGGAGGCCAACTGTAGGGGAAGAAAGTGACTAGCCACTACAATGAGAAAGTATCAGAGGGGTAGCCGTGTTAGTCTGGATCTGTAAAAAGCAAGAGAGTCCTATGGCACCTTTAAGACTAACAGATGTATTGGAGCATAAGCTTTCGTGGGTGAATACGTCTGACGAAGTGGATATCCACCATGAAAGCTTACGCTCCAATACATCTGTTAGTCTTAAAGGTGCCACAGGACTCTCTGTTGCTTTTTATAGAATGAGAAAGTTATCGATAAGGAAGGGGGTAGGCCTTGGATACACCAACACGGCACCTGTTAGGGGTCCCTCAGTTGGCAATCAGCTCTCTCATCCCCACTTCTTCCGGCTGCAGGTGCTCCTCATCCTGACTGCGCTACAGCCCTCCATCCTGAGCATCCTGGCAAGCAGCGGCCAGATCGCCTGCGCCCCGCCATTGTCCTCCAAGACGAGGTCACAGTGTGAGTAGCAAGAGGCTCTGGCCTGGGTTAATTTAAGGACGAAAACTGGCCAAGGATCGAAGTCAGCCTCTCTCTCCCTGGCACAGAGGGGCAGGAATATTTTCACAAATAATTTTTTTTTCTTTTGAAAGAAAAGGAGAAGCTCCTTTTATTGCACTCCCTGAAGGAAAGTATAACCGCCTTCTCTGCATCTCCACCAGGGGCTCCAGCAAATTCAGGGGCCCGGTCCCTCCCGCGGCCCCACCTGCCACCCCTACGCGCCTCCCCTGGAGCCTTCCCTGGCTCTGCCTGCTGTCCCCGCGAGCCTCCCGCGAGCCTCCCTGCCTGCCCCCTGCAGCTCTGCACCGTGCTCCATCGCTGGCCGCTGCCGGCTAAGGGAGCGGCGCCAGCGGCCGGCTGACTGCTGCACCTGTGGGGGGAGGAGGCACAGCGGCATGGCAGCTCCCCCGCCCCCCAGCAGGCAACTCCAAGGGGGCTTATCCTGTCTGGACCTCCTGAGCAGCAGCCTGGGGCTTGGGTGAGTGTCGTGCCAGGGCAGAGGGGGGGCCCCCTCCCCTGGAGCTCGTTGCTGCCGGTGGGGAGAAGGCGTAGGAGAGTCCTCCTGTCTGGCCCCAGCCCTAGGGCAGCCCACCTGCTGCACCCCAAAATTTGAACTCAACCCTGGCCCAGCCCCACCCCAGAGCCCTCATCCCCCTCCACCCCTGCCCTGAGCCCCCTCCCACACTCCAAACCTCTCATCCCCAGTCCCACCCCAGAGCCTGCACCCCCAGTCAGAGCCCTCACCCACCCCTGCACTCCAACCCTCTGCGCCAGCCCTGAGCCCCCTCCTGCACTGTGAACCCCTCATCCCCATTCTTTGCTTAGGAGTTCGCATTTCTTTCCTTTCTTTATAAGTGGTTCTTAGGGGTGCACTGCTGTGGGTGCTAGACTGTCTGACTTGTAGGCGTTGTCTGCACTGGGTTATTCTACACCAACATAGGTGCATTTGTGCAAGCCCCTAGTGTAGACAATCCATGCCCAATTAACCATGACTTGTGCTGGCACCGTTTATCATAGTGTGAAACCCCAGTGTGGACAAGCCCCGAGGAAGGTGACAACTCCACTTTATCTAAAATAATTAGTTTTCTAATAACAAACCCTTAAAACCCACAGAAAAATGTCCCCCTTGTTATTCTTTTAAATTCCATTGAAAACACTGGTTTTACAGCAAGGACAAATTTCCATCAAGTGTTCGCAACCCAAATGTTACAGCACTGAGAACGTGGAAGCACCTTAATCGATTTTCATTGTCCAAGATAAGAGATGCACAGACTGTGAGAGAGCCATAAATAGGTACAGAAATACTTGTTAACAATATCTGACTTTCAGGCTGGCCGTGTCCCCAATAATAGTTTCGCATTTACCTCCCTGTGCACCTTAATGAAGATTTACCCTTTTAGATTCCTTTCAGCTTGGTTACTAGGCTGAAATATTTGCATAATGGTTAAAACAACAAACCCAGTTAAATCAGTGTACAACCCCAGTAGTAATGCTCCCCACAGCCATGCCCGTAATCCAGTTCTGCCTGCTCTCCAGCCTGGGAGAGGAAAGGAATATCTTACCCTTCATCCCCTGCCACACCCCAGAGCCCTCACCGCCCGCACCCCCAATCCTGATCCCCGTCCTGCACAGTGAACCCCTCATCCCGGGCCCCACCCTGCAACCCTCTGCCCGAGCCCCTCCCACACCCCAAAACCCTCATCCCGAGCCCACACCCCCAGCCAGAGCCCTCATCCCCTGCACCCCAACCCTGAGCCACCTCCTGCACCGTGAACCCCTCATCCTGGGCCCCACCCTGCAGCCCTCACTCCCCAACCCTCTCCCACACCCCAAGCCTCTCATCCCCCACCCCACCCAAGCTTACACCCCCCGTCAGAGCCCTCATCCCCCACACCCCAACCCTCTGCCCTATCCTGAGCCTCCTCCCACACTCCAACCCCCTCAGCCCCACACCATTAATTTTGTGTAATAATAATCAACAATGGATACATTCTTAATAAAATTACCCAGAGAAAAAGAACAAAAAGGGCAATTCATCAAGTGATGGCCTGAGTCCGAGACACAGCTTGCAAACTGAAGTTATACAAAAGAAAGATGCGGCAAATCTAAAAGATAAGAAAAGCAGTTTTCATGAATCTTGGCTATCAAGAGTACAATAGCGAATTAGACAGAGCTTTCTGCTTTTGAGGATTATTGATCCAAGAGTGCTGGGTTGTTTCCATATTCAAGAGTATTAATAAATAAAGTTGATATTCTTAGTTAAATAATTTTTTCTTACGATAGCGATATTGTGCAATATCGGAAAACTTAAAAGCGTACTGTTTCCAGTCCATTTTTACATTATTTTAAAAAATATATATCAGCTTACAAGGCAGGTGTGTGTGGGGGTGGGGGGCAGGACTTGGACCCGTTGTGGGCGCCTCCAAAAATTATACAAACCTGCCACCACTGATCTCCGCTGCAGCAAAGACAGCTGGAATTTTCAAGGCCGTGAAGCAGCAGGAGACTAGGAGTATCTACACGTTTGCTCACCCACGAAAAACAGCCTGTGTTGAAGTGGAAACTGTCAATTTAGTCAATCCGGCTGCTGCTGCATTTTTGTTTCCAGGCCAGCTTCTCTTCAGCACTCTTGTAACAGCGAAGTAGACCGCATTGTCTCCGTGACTAGGCCCCTGCCTTGGTGAGGGACAAGGCAGAACTAGGCCTTACTCACTAGCTAGACAGAGGCACCGTTCACTTGCATGGAAGTGAAATTCTGCTGCTTTGAAGAGCAAATTAATCCTTCGCCCAGAGGGAAATATTATCAGCCCCCGTTTGGTAACTGCTGGGAGCTAGTGAATCCTGATTTCCCCTTACCCTCGTAACATACTTCTTTAAACAACTGTACCGTTCTGGCTGGTGAGCGAATGGGGAAGAACGGTAACGAAAGACACGCCAACTAACCCCTCTCTTTCACGGTTTGTTTTCAGACATGAGCGTGCAGTTGCTTATCCTGGAGACCTTCATCATCACGGTGGTGACTAGGATGTACTACAGAAAACAGGACGACAAGGCAGGATACCAACCTTTCAGCCCGCCGGATGGGGACATTGAAAGCAAAGCCTAGACAGGAAGGAGCGGTGACCGGAAAGGAGCTTCTGACGGCACAGACCCATGGCACAAGGAGTTCCTCCCAGGTTGCCAAAACACGTCCCCTCTGCAATTTCACAGGGATAGGATATTTCCCTAGGTAGCTGTTTGAAGCTTCATTTGGCAAGTGACATATAGGAAGGAAACACAATTTGCATCCAGATGGGTCTGAAATCCAAAGGATACGAACCAAAGTTTCTGTAAACCAGGTTCTTAGTGCAGGGGCCTAATCTGTAAAGTGCCTAGCACCCCTCAGGTGCTGTCTAAATACAGAATAAAAATCGATCCAGGCACTTCGACTGGGCTCATTGCTGTTGGAACGAACGCTGCTACTCCATTTCATTTAAACATCTCTTTGAGGGGAAAAAGCGGGGGCTAAAACTCTGCCTACTCTGGGCTCAAAGAGCTGAGGGCTTGGCTACCACTTCCATTGGTTTAGACGAATGGGGATATTCCAACACTGGGGTGCACGAATGAGTCTATGGACTTACGCAGTCAGGGGAAGTGTGAAAAACCAGGCCCCTTTATACAAACTAGTGGCCCCAGCTGCTGGCTTTAATTATGGAAACATCCGCACTGCTCATCCAGAGGCCCCAACAGCCTTCACAAAGAGGGGCATTCGTATTCCAGTTACACACATGGGAAAAGCAAACCCTCAGATGGGCTAAGTGAGTTGTTTAAGGTCACAATGGTGGAACAGAGAACCCAGGCATCCTGACGCCTAGAGAGGTCTATTCTCCACTGGAAGCTGCCGCCACTTTTCTGACTGCAGATCAAACGTGGCACAGACTGCATGTCCCCTCTGCTTTGGCAGAACAGAATCAGCTGCCAGGCTGGAATTCAAGAAAGAAAAAGTGGCCCAGCACTAGCAGAGCTGTAGAATACAGTCTGAAGTAAGAAACTGGTAAAGGAAAGCGGCATTAACCAGCGCTATACGGGGCACGTCTGGTCAGTAGCTCAGTGCTAGTTTCGCACGGAGAAGGGGAATTGGTGGGAAATCGGTTAAGAAAGGCGATGACTTCAAGAGTTCTACCGTGGACCACCTTTCCAATAAGGGACGGCAGATCAAGGGAGATTAAAAGCACTCAAATTAAGAAAAAAGAAAATAATCGGGCACAGTTTGACAAGGGTTGGGTAAAATGACTTTGCATTTATTTGGCTAAACATAAAAACCAAAAACCAACTCCGAACAAGCCAGTAACGCGCGTGCGTACACACACACACACACACACACACACACACACACACACACACACACACAGAGAAACCAATACAGTTAACATTGATTGAGAGGAGACATTCCGAGGCACCCTAGTGAGAGGAGCAATGCACCACACCGGTGTGTGTCAAGTACGACAGCACCCCGTCCTGCTAAGATAACAAAACTCACGTGACTCCCATCTCGGTGCCCTAGAGTGTCACCCAACTTGGGATAGCATTGATGGAAAGCCCCACTTTCCCCCTAGCAATCTGAACCACCGCACCCTTTAGCTCAATTTGTATGCCAGCATAAAACCTTATCCCGCAGCGTTTTCGTAACAAGGTAAGTGATGTTTCAGTGAACGGAAAAACTAAAAGAAAATCTGGAATTTAAAACAAATTCCAAAAACCACATTGTTCCATTTATTTGATTTGGAAAAAATCTACGCATTGATCTCATCCCAAGAAGAAACAAAACAGAACAACTGTTCTGGTCGAGCTTTATGCAAATGGCAGCATTTTAGATGAGTTACAAAACTGTCCAGTTTTACACAGTTGGTTACACTCTTGTGACAGACAACGTATTGCTGAGAACATTCTCCTTCTCTTTCTCTATATGGCTTTCTAGGAGTCAAACAGCAGCCAAGGTGAACACGTGCTCCACGCACCTGACCACGTGCAATGTACAAACGAAGAGTTGAAAAGACAGGTTCTGTCCCCTCGCTGGACAAGCTACACCCCATTCTGTATAGGAAAGGAAGGCAGGGAATCTGAACACCGTTAAAAGTCACAAGAAATAACCCCTACCGGGGGGCGGTCTGCATGCAGGCTTCCTGCACAAGGTCCCCACCCCAGCATGTTCCATATATATTGTTACAAAAAGAGGAGGGAAAGAATATGTTAGAAGCATTAACTGCACTAGCACATGCTTCGAGTTACAGATGGACCCTAATCACACCTTCTACAGTGGGCCAGGTTTTAAATGATTTTGTTAGTAAGTTTTCTGGGGTTAAACTCTTTAACAGACATGTTCCACTTTCCCTCCAGAAGCCTGAATAACTTTCTTCTGAAGCCCCAACTCCCGTGCTGTTGAACGTCACTATCACAGCTTCTTAGAGTCCAATCAATCGCACCAGAAGTGCTGCTCGTGCCCAGCCTTTGCCCGCTACTATCTTCTGCTTCACCTTTTAGCGTCACTCCACTGCCATCCTTCCTGTCCCATGTGGAAAGGCATTTGCAACGGCTTGCCTTCAAAGCCAACCGCCGTATGCATGAGGTCAGAGATCGCTCGAAGCCGCATCTCATACGATTTTGCAGAAATTGACCCATGTGGATCTAGTGGTACCAGGTTCCATTTAATGCGGCAAATTCTCCATGGAGATAGATCTCGTAGTGGGGGAGAAACACAAACTTCTCCCATTTCTCTACGCTGCCGCTTCCTCAGTATTCTAACCAGCCCCGGCCGACACTCATTAGCAGCTGTTCCAATGTGTAGGTGAGGCTCAGTAGAGACGCACGGAATGAAACAGTCAAGTGATTATGATGAGGTAACACCCTGGGAAACCCAGCCTGCCCCTCACCAATCATCAAAGGGAACTTTGCTATGCCGAGGGTACATTACACTGTGCAGATGGATTTCTGGCACTCAGCTACATGCAGCAACAGACAGGAAGTGTGCCAGACGGTGGGCTCCATGCAATGATGCCGTCTCTTTAAAAGCCATGATAAACACACTGATTTGGGATTGGAGCGTCCACTTTAATTTGCAAAGTGCAAGGAGGAAGCAGGGATGGTTAGGTACAAGAAACAGCTTTGATATTCCTAGTTACAGGCAAACAACATGCCCTGGTTGCACAAGTGACCCCACCCCATGCAGTAGCTTCCCTGTGCAGGATTTAGGAGTGATCGGACACCGTAAATACTGTTATCATCCAAAGCTACAGAATACTGTTCACACCCTGTGTTTAACGTGACTGTCGGTGCCCTGTGCTGCCCTGCCTAAAGTATGCGATCAGATGAGGAAATAGACTTAAGTATCTGCCGAAGGAGGGTGTGTCTACAGATATGTGAGCAGGAGAGTTACAGATATCTGCCACCACTCAGAGGCCGAGAAATTAAGAATCGTTTGCATCTCACCATTTTGGTGCCACCTCAGAACAACGCAAGTGCTCCCCCTACAGCTGCTAAAACCTTCCCAGAGCCATGGCCATCCCTGCTGGGAGGAATCACTCACACTGGCATACTGGGAAACTAAAGCTTTCTTTCCCCTTTGCCAGCTCTGGCCTCTTGGGAAATATAGGAGTGGGGGAAGAATCAGTTTGCCCAAGCCTGGTGGAGGACGAGAGTCTATGCCAAGCCCCAAAGGTGGCGTTTCACAAAACAGTTGACAGAACTTTGAGGAAGTAGCAGCCCCTTTTACGTACGGGGTGGGCACGTTCGATAGCTGCGTTTCACTGTGTAGGATGGCTCTGGCATCTGACTTTTAGTCTCCACAGAATCATTGTTTCCCTGGATTGTACGTCGTGGGTTTTAACACCCGCAGCCTTTGCCCACGCGATTCTTAATCTGACCTCGCTGTCTGTTTGCAACATTCAAGGAAGCGCTTTCTAAACAGGAGATGGCAAGGCGAGCTCGGGCACCAAAGCAACGTTGGGAGTTTCACGGCTGTAGATACGGCAGCTCCACCCCCTGGATGCTGGCTTCCAGGATAGAGTGCGTTCCAACAAGACCCGCAACCTGCCTGCCCAAAGGACTTCCCTTGGGCACGCGCTGTGTAGGGACTCAACGTTTGACGCTGTGCTACAGCTCTTACCAAGGGGCACTTAAAGCGCAATATAAACGTTACATAGTTAATAGCAAAGCGTCACTGGACCACAATTTCAAATGAACAGGGGTTATCGGTTAAAATTAAAAACAGTGGCAGTTTCCTTTTATGCTATTTCTGCACCCTCAAGAAACAGCTAACGGACAGAGGTACCTGCATTTAATGCACAAATGATTTGACACCTATGTGAGAACATACCCCAGCATCTATCCACCTGCACATCAAAAACGGACAGAGAATTGGCCACCGACATTCTGAACAGCTCTCTTAGCAGGGTCTTTACCTCCCCGATAGGAGAGAGGTCACAGCTCTCCATCCCTTAGCGCACAATAATGTAAACCAATACGGACCCGTGCAAAGCAGAGCACCCAGCGTGGACGTTTGGACAGACAGTAATATGTGCAGCACACCAGAGACTGGGGGGAGGTGCGAAGGCAGGAAGAGGACCTTTCTGAAGGAGCAGGCATATTTGTTATTGCCTAGCTGAGCGTACGTGCACACAAACACACAACGCACGTCTGGAAAGAAGAGGTCATACTCTTCCCTCAAACAGCAGCTGATGGGCAAAATGAGGTTCTTAGCCTGAGATTTAGCGATGCTCCTAGATGCCCACATGGCAGATAGAACATTCTAAGATGGCCTTTTCCTTGCCGAGTCAGGTATAGAGTTGTATCCGCTGTGCAGGTTTACCAGACTTTACAGAACGGCGCGTGACCCATTCTACGCTGGTGTGGCTTCTCAGACGGCGGATTTCCCACACAGGAGACACAAGGCAGCTTTCCACTACGAAACGTTGGGAACCTCAGCTAAAAGAAGCAAGGTCAAGACACAGAGAGCTGGGTAGATTCTTATTGGTTCCAGTACAGTACGGATGTCTCTTTAGAATTAAAAAATAGCTCCTCTACACTACCGCTTCCTGCACTGTCTCAACTTCGCCCCATCTGAGGACCCGGCATGTCCATCATTCAAGAGGTTCAGCAGCGATGGAGAATCCTGCCTTGGGGCAATAAAAGGCTGCAGTGGGTCAAAGCAGCAGACAGACAAACGGGTCTGATTAACAGTTCTCCCCATGCCCACCTGTCTGGCGGAGGTTTCACAGGGCAAAGGCTTCAGTGCCACTCTCTTTAAAATATTTTTAAAAAAAAAAATAATAAAACCCTCTTTTCCTCTTGGAAACCATTGGAACGTAAACAATAAAAAGGGGCTGGGGCTAGGGAGAACGTTAGACGGTGCTTCCCAGACAGTAGCCCTTGCGCAGAGCAGATGGTGCCTCTTGGAGGGTCGTCAGCAGCCACGTTACCATTGCTCTCGCGTTCAAAGTTCCCCGTGGGTTAGGAGCTGGAATTCGGCAATCAGCGACGCAGTGTCCGCGGCCAGCGACTAGTCCTCCTCATCCTCGCTGATGTCATAGGCGACGGCGGATTGGTTCCTGGAGAGGTTGGCCGGCGAGGAAGGAGGGGTCTTGGTGGAGAAGGGCCAGCGGAAGGAGGGAGAGGGGGAGCGCTCATGCGTCGGGCTGCTGCTGGGGCTCTGTTTGGGGCTGATAGCCTGCAACATCCGGCCTTTGCCCTCCTTCAGCATGTGTTTCTAGCGAGGGGAGGGAAACAGGAGGGAGATTAACCATGTGGCCGGTGGCACGTTCGAAGGTGATGGGAATGGGTGCTGGAGCCCAGCACTCGCGGCATTTATGGCTGCGCTGGCCAATCACCATCCCATGCTGCGAGACGAACCCTATGGAAAAACCTCCACTTGCATGGGCACCAACGGAGCTGTAGTTGGACAGGCTCAGTGCCAGGTCAGGTCAAGCACCTTCAGCACACAACCGTAGGGGGCTGGGTAACAGAACAGGGAGCAATTTCACCACTAGGCGCTAAGTTCAGATCCATGGCTGAAAGTTACCACCCTCCCACGGCTACTTGGTGACGTGTGTAAAACAAGTTGGAGGTGTCAGTCCAACTCTCGGGGAATCGGTGTCACCGTGGCAGCTGGCACTAAGTGGCATCCATGTTGCTCATCTCAGACAGGCCAAGGATAAGTGATCCTTGAAGACTGAGCTACTTTTGCCTCTAGCAGGGCCCCCCTTAGCACATGGCTGATGGAGATGGTCTGGGAGGGAAGCCGGCACTGCACCCAGTGCTGTGGTTAGCTAGAGGACTTCCCTCTGCAGGGCTATCACAACAGATCTCCCAGAAGCATTAAAGTTTCCCAGGACGCTTTCTGAAATCCCCCTCCCACCCCGTTTTTATTCCCCATCTCCAGGGTGAACTTGTTACCAGTGCTCCTTCCGGTCCAAACATCTCCAGGAAGTTGCCGATGAATTCCCGGGATTTCTCCTCCCATTTTTGAATGAGGTCAATACTCTTTTCCTCCACTTTCTGGACAAACTCCTTCGATTTCTCCTCCACGTCCTTGACCCTCTTTTTCACCTTGTCCACACGTTCCTGCAGGTGATATTTCTTCTCCTGCAGAAGCAAACAACACAGGGGGAAGGATTAGGACATTGAGCACTTCAAGGGGGAAAATGAGCTGACAAGATCCCATGACAGCGTAAAAAGCAAATACTGGCGCAGTGTGAGAGACTGGTTAGCCCTGCAGATTTATTACTACCGATTTGTATTGCAGCCACTCCCCGAGCCCTGGGTCGGGATCAGGCTCCCGCTGTGCTCGGTGCTGCACACGCACGCAGTAAGAGACAGTCCCTGCCCGGGTGGATTTACAGTCTAACGCATCGAGACTCACGTTTATGAAGCTGACGTTCAGCTCCTTGGCAGTGTATCCCCTCTGCAGGTTCCGTCGGGCATAGACATCATAGTCTCGTACAATCCGGGTGATGATATCGGATGTGGAGATCCCTTCGGTCCTCTGAGTTGGTGCAAACATGCCTGAGAGCAGGGGGATAGAACCCAGGACAGGTGTAGGTCAGATGGAAGTGAGGAGCTGCTACTGACTCTCAATACACAGGCTGGGGTATTTCACAGGCTCTTAAAGATCATACCCTACTACTATAATCTCTCTCTTTCTCTCTTTCCCAATTGGCCTTGTTCTATATTTTGACCCTTGAAAACTGTCCAGTTCTGGTGTCCACAATTCACGAAGAATAGTCAAAAACTGGAGAGGGTTCAGAGAAGAGCCACGAGAAGGATTAAAGGATCGGAAAGTATACCTTATAGTGAGGGACTGAAGGAGCTCAAGCTATGTAATTTATCAAAGAGCAAGTTCAGGGGCGATTTGATCACTCTAAGTACACCTCTATCCCGATATAAAGTGACCTGATAGAACACGAATTCGGATATAACGCGGTAAAGCAGTGCTCCGGGGGGGGGGGGGGGGCGCACTCCGGCGGATCAAAGCAAGTTCGCTATAACACGGTTTCACCTATAACGCGGTACGATTTTTTGGCTCCTGAGGACAGCGTTATATCGAGGTAGAGGTGTACCTACATGGGGAACAGAAATTTGACTGTAGATGGCTCTTCAGTCTAGCAGACACGATCCAATGGCTGGAAGTTGAAGCTAGAGAGGGACAGACTAGAAATAAATTGCATTTTTTTTTATTTATTTTTTTTTTTAAACAGTGAGAGGAATTAACCACTGGAACAGTTCATCAAGGAGTGTGGGGGATTTTCCATCCCTGGAAATTTTTAAATCAAGATGGGATGTTTTTCTAAAAGATCTGCTTTTGTTCAACCACAGTGACTGGACTTGACGTAGGAATTAATTCAGGGGAGTCCTCTGGCCTGTGTACTGCAGGAATCCAGGCTAGACGATCACAGTGGTCCCATCTGGGCTTATCCACGCAAACAGCTCAGCAGTACCACCAGGCCTGAAACCTGCACTCAGAGGCACCTGCGGGGTGAGCTAGTGAAGTCTACAGTGGCGTGAGGGTCAGCCAGCTACAGTGGCTGGACCAAGGCTGCAGAGTGCAAGTCCAGGGTACATTTCCATGGCTTTCTTTTACCTTGTGCAGGTTGACGCCTCGCTCGCTCAAAGGTATCAATTCCATAAAGGATGTAGGGAGACTAAGCCATGTCTCCAACACATATCACTTAATGCGCCCAAAAAAATGTGACCTTCAGCCTTGGAGAACCGAAGACATCTAATAAAAGCGAATAGACTAAAGGGTAACAATCACCCGGAAGAGAGAATGTTTCTAAGAAATGTACTTGGCTGGTTGGTTTGTACTCGGTTCTCTTTGCTATTGTCAGAGATGCGTTTTAATCAGGGAATCTCCGGCACTGAATTTATGATACTGTGCTTAGGATACCAGCCCATCCTCATGGAATGGGCTGAGACAGGACAAAGGTAGAAAGACTGAGAGGATGCTGCCTTTGTCTGAATACAAACAGCACCGGTAGCCATGTTTGCAGCTGGAGGTTTGTCACAGTAGGACAAGAGTCAAGGATAGCGTGATTTTCCCATTGGTCCATGACTTTTCTCTCTTCACGCTACTGTGGCGGCTCCTGTTCCTGTGGGGCTGGGCCCAGGGCCCTGAAGAGGGCATTGCAGCCTGGCGCACCGGTTTGCAGCGCTGCTCCAGTTTGGCCCGTCCAACCCTCTGTCCCAACAGGGTGTTGGCCCCAGTCCCGCAGGACAGGAACTGCAGGGTGAGTGTGGGGTGGGCTCTCTCTCCAACCCACTCCCCCTCCTGGGTCCTCCTCTCCTCACCCAGCCAGGATTAAGGTATCGGTGTTGCTCTGGGTTGTTGGTGCTCCTAGGGCAGGGCAAGGAGGGGGGCACTTTTTTAAATAAAAAAACAGGGAGCAGTCACCCAGGCTTCTTACTAAATTCACCGTGACTGCTCTGTGCTTTGTGACAAAAATGCCAAGACACATTTGCAGTCCTACCCAGGACACCGAGTACGAAGATATTGCAGTAGGAGAGGTTTACATTAATTTAAGCCCAACAGATGTGAAAACTGTACCCCGCGTTTTGCTTTTTTAGTCCGGTGCCATTTTTAACCAAGAGACGAGGCGCACTTGCTATGTTTAGAATGGACACTGAGGGATACAACTGTGGGTCACTTATTTTGCTAGCTATTAGATAACAAGCATGCAGTTGTTATCTAAAGGATAGATCAGGAAAGAGCAGATCCGTCATACCAGGACTAATGAACTAAGAGTGACCATGGTATTAGAGGTGCTGGATTAGCAGCCTTTGAGACCCAGGGCTTCTGTTTATTCCACGTATCACAGGAACAGCCCTGCCAATGTGGTGCAAGCCTAGTGTGGAAGACTCAATCTTTTAGGCACTCCGATCCCATGCAAAGGGAGCAGTAAAAGACCCTGGACAGAAGTGAGATCAGTCTCCCTAGACACTCAATCCTTGCCAAGCTGGACAGTAACTGGCACCAACTATAACACTGTTTTTGCTCTAACCCCTGCCTCAAGACCCACCAGCTAGTGCTAGATGGTAAAGGTTACAGGTCACCACCACGACTTATGCCTCACCTGCTTCTTTTATGTGTTTATAAACATCGTCACTCCCAGCAGAAGAATATGGGATGTCATCATGGGCAACAAAATCGATCTGGCGGTTGAAGAAAAGAGTTAGAATAAATCTTTCCTTGAATCCACAGAAGGTACCTTTTGATGTAATGACCAAGTAATTACTCACTGCTCAGCACCTGGGTACAAGTAATTACTCACTGCTCAGCACCTGGGTACAGGTACAGGGCTAGCAAAGCAATGAGGAACGTCAATGGGGTTTGCTTTCGAAACAAGGTTAACCCTCCACAGCCCAGCCCTCCCGAGCAACCCTAGACAAGCCTGCGAGTGCATGCCAAGGAGGAAGACAACTGGAGTAAGAAGCAAACGGCAGTTTCAAGCTTCAAACAGTGTCATAAACTGAGCGAACTGTTGGGCCTTGAGCAGCAGCCTGGTGCCAGCAGAGGGCAATATCTGATGTCCAGAGGAAGGCGAGAAAGCTCCTTAGTGCATCTGGCCGCAAATTCCTTCCTGACCCCTGCAGCAAATAAGCACGTGTCCTGAGGCAGGAGATTTGATTCGCCTTCTCTCAATCTATACAACCACAAGTGTTACTACTGGCAGTAAAACTACCAGCCCCTTTTTAAAGCCACCCATGGTATTTGCCTCTCCAAACTCCTGCTAGTGGAACTTCACCCACGGGCCTGTTACTGGTTTTGCATTTACCTGCCACTAACTTTGAGTGACGCCTTGTTCTCATGTTAGGGAACAGAAAAAAAGAGGCCTCCCTATGACTGACCCGCCATGGATCTGGCCTCCTCAGATTTTGACAGTACCGGCCATGACAGGCTAGCTCTGCCCAGGCCCCTAACCGCCTTAGAAACACACATGGCCCGTGATACCAACTCACTGCACACTCTAGGACGTGTAACAGAAGAGGGTTGGGTTGCTCTAACACCGGCCGTGCGGGTACGAATGACCAGAGGGAAATACAGCAGTTATTCGGAATCCTGTACTGCAGGTGTGCGGCAGGAGCATGGTAGTTACAAGCGCACACCCAGCACAGTCGCCTGATTGTCTGAAAGCCCCTGGCAGCTCTACTGCTGCGTCTTACCTGGTGCTCTGCCAGGAACTCCGGGGTGAGGGTCCACGGTGCGTTTCTCACCACTTCATCCACGTAGCGACAGTGCTGCACCGCATCGTAACGCTCGCTTTCGTTCATCACCGTGAAGCCTTTGAGGTTATGGGTCAGCTCATCGCTGCAGACTGCGGACACGGGCACAGAGCAAAGGTGAGTTCTGTTAGTCTTCTGAATACCCACCCTGACCCCCTCCACTACCTGACTCCACCGTCTGCCCCGTGCGGCACGAGAGAACTGAGCCAAGACCCTGGCAGATCTTCCAAGCTAAGCGGGCTCAGCAGTTACAACTCAAGCGCCACCAGAGGTGTTGGCGATTCAGGAAGAGAACCCAGCGTTCAACGCCCAGTCTACAGCTCTAACCAGTAAGGCAAGGGTTCGCAAACTTAGAATCATAGAATCTCAGGGTTGGAAGGGACCTCAGGAGGTCATCTAGTCCAACCCCCTGCTTCGCGACTCTCTTCTGACAAGAAAAATTATTACACGACCCCAGGAGGGTGGACCAAAGCCTGAGCCTGCCCAAGCCCCGTTGCTCCAGGCGGGGGAGCCAAAGCTGAAGCCTGTAACCTGAGCCCCACCACCCTGGGCTGAAGCCCTCGGGCTTTGGCCCCAGGAAGTGGGCTCAGGCTTTGGCCCTGGGCCCCAGCAAGTCTAACGGCAGCCCTGGCGACCCCATTTAAATGGCGTCCCGACCCACAGTTTGAGAACCGCTGTAGTAAAGCATAGGTGTGAAAGGCTTGGAGGTGGAGGGGAGAAGAGAGAGCGTTACGGAGGCGAGGAAGCCTCTCAAATCAATTCCATTGATTTCCACACACTGTGAAGAATACAGCATTATTATGCGAAATTGGTCAGTTGACTGGCTGGTAACCCTTCACCCCAGGCCCTTAAAGGCTCTGGAACTCATGCTGCTTGTAGAAAGAAATGATGAATACAGAAGTCAACTTTCCTTCCAAAGCTAACAGTGTTCTTCCTCTTTGGGCATCAGTACTGGGAGCACAGGGCAGCTCTATGGACCGCCACTAGGTGGGGCACAGAATTGCCTCATTTACACAGGGGATGACTCGGGTCCAGAACCCTGACACCTAGCAAAGAAACATCCGAACCAAACAGGTTTCCAAATTTAGAAATGAAGCCAAAACCCATCTGAACAAATCAAACTAGAACAGAATGGGTTCATAGCAAATCATCCAATTAGTCCAATTACCAGGCTGATTAAACCACGTGAAATAAAATCAACAATTCTTTAGTAACTCTATGTAATAATTTGGGAAGGCCCAAAAGTAAACAGGCCAATCTCAATCGATATATTGCTGCTCCAGCCAAACAGCTGATATAGGGAGGGTGAAATCACTCCCAGCTCGAAGCTAATGTTGAGACTACGCACACAGAGGGACAGTTTCTTAGTCTTCAACTGCTCCTGTTCTCCAGACGGATGCTCAGAATGTCCCTTTATATTTTGGCACTCAATGCTCTGAACAGCATTTCTTGACACACAAAATTTAGATCAAAGGTTAGACTAACTTGGTCAGAACAGAAAGTAATTCCCACCTTAAAAAAAAAACACACCAATTCTGGAGTTCCATTTTTATGGACAGGCCCATTTGCACTGTATCCAATTCAATACTGAAGAGGACGAGATTACAACGTGGCTGCCCTTTGAGCTGCAACAAGGGCCAGGCACAGCGTAAGACGCTAAGGGTTGCAGAGTGCAAAGGAAACTATAGGTTGCAATCGTACCTTTGGCAAGGTAAACTATTCCTGTAAGGCTGCCAAAGTCAAGAGACCTCGCCTTACCTCCCACAATGAGATACGTGTTCGGGAAGAGGTTCTTTGCCTGCATCAAGGCCCGGGCATGTCCAGAGTGAAATAAGTCAAATATCCCATCAGCGTAAACCCTGACTGGTCGATCCACTGAACACAAAAACAAACAGACGTTATTCACGGAGAGCCACTCCTGGGGAAAGCATTTGCTGGCTGTGCCTTACCTGGTGGGTTTGAAGACCTAGCGAGCCTGAGGTTGCTTGTGGGAGGAATTTGGTTGTACGTGTTGTTATAGAAACAATTGTCAGAATGTGGAGCTGTAGCCAGAAAAGGTTTGAGAAGGGAAATTGCTGGTTTGTTTCCGTTAGGAGTCAGCGCATGGGGGTGCGCAGACTAAGCATGGAACGACATTCAGAGACGGACTTAAAACCTAAAGTGCCCTGCGTGGTGTTCTCATGGGACTCAGTGCAGCTGCCCTGGGAGAAGGTGCACACAGCGCAAAGGGAAACCTGGGGAAAATGCAAACATCCAACATCGCCATCCTACAGGAATCAAAACGCAACATGTCAAGGTTCTGCTCAGCAATCGACTACCAACAGGTGACTAGCCGAAGATATTTCATGGGTTTGTGTTACGTTCGCCCAGCAGGCTCCTGGAGGAAATCCTGAGATCTTCCCGATTCCCCCCACACTCCATGGTGAACCTCACTACTAGAGCTGCTGTGCTCCGATTCTGGAAGAATGGTCAACGAGAATTCCTGCTCAGTAGGACTCCCCAGAAGGTTCAGCCCCATTCAGATTAACGGCTACTCCATCTCTTAGTAAAGAGCAGCTCGTTTATTTCGATCCTTGAGCTCACACGCGCTTAACTTTCGCCCACTGTTTCACATTCAGCCTAAAGGCTATTCGGGAGCCCATCTACTACTAAAACCACAATAGACTTCTTAACTTCCACTTTTCCAGGCCGACACCGGACTCTCGCTCACAGCTGTGGGATACTTCAGCCATCTGGGAAGTTTGGCCCAGAGAGTCATGTCTATCTAAGCCAGACAGACAAGTCTGAGCCAGAGGGAGGGCACTTGGCAGACAGGAAGGAGACTGCTTCGTGCATAGGAGGCAGCATTTAAGCAGATCTGAAGCTGAGGGTGGGAGAAGCAGATAAAGAAAGCAGCAGGAGGGGAGGACTAGGGGCCAGTGTGGGGGAAGAACACAGACGTACAGTAGTTGGGGACACTTATAGGGTGTTGAAGGTGACACAGAGGCAGTCAATTAAGGCAATAAAATGAGTTTTGCTGGGAAGGGACAGATGTTAGATGATGTAGACGAGCTGTATAGTGAATGCCAAAAGACAGTAACAATTTAGTACTTGCAGAGCCAATTTGATTGATCCTGAATGTGTTACATGGTTCCACAGAGAAACCGAGGAATCAGAGATTTGAGACCTCTAACCCCCATCTGCGGGCCCCCTTGCGTATGTATGTGAGAATGAGCATCTTGAACTTTCTCAAAGCATGGATCACAGACAACACGTTGGAAACCTGCGTGCTAGTGTTTAGGCCAGTCTAGATTTGACTGTGCAAAGCCACGGGGCTTCCAGAAATTCCCTTGGGAGACTGTTCGATAGGCCTTGACAGGTCATGAGATGAGTAAACCTCCTTTAATGACTTTATTGCTATTTACAGAAAGAAGTGCAGTGCTTTCATTACAGCTACGAAGCTGGCACCATGAAGGGCTGGGTACGATCATGTACTTTGAACAGTCAGCATAGGAATGCAGCCTCTAGCAGGGGTTAAGCTCTTTGGTATGATGTGTACATACGGCTCCCAGAACAAAGGCCCCAATCTCAGGCAGTCATGTAATACAAATAATGATAGTCTTAGTCCCCAGGGTGGATACAATGCTCCTAAATAGCTAAGCAGGGCTCCTTCCAACCTGACACAAGGGAGGATGAAACTCTAACTGAGCCAGGAGAAGTCCTAGGACAGCGCACGTGCTTAGGTAACTGCCTTCTCATTTGGCTTTACAGTACTTACAGGGGGTGCCCCGGGTCGCCTCTTCCAACGTTAGTCTGACGTACGGCTTACTGTAGTCCACTTCAATTTCATCTGAAAACGGAGCTGGCTCCCTCAAGCCCTAAATAATCAGAGAGAGAAATAGCTTGCAAACCCCCTGAGGTTCAGCATACTACACAGCCACAGCACAAGCAAACAGGGATGGCAGGGGAATGATAGCAGCCTAGCAATTCAATGGCAGACACGCTGCGCTAGGAGAGCCTTGTACAAAAGGTGCTAATGAGATTTATGGCCGTTAAGCCCCAACACCGTCCTGGGGGGTAATTATCCCTAGCTTAGGGATGGAGAGAACTGAGGGGAGCTGAGGTTAAGTTACACGCGGAATCAAGGGAAAAGCTCAGCAGAGCCCAGGGCACAGATTCCCAGCTGGTGTAAATGGACTTCAGTGAAGCTATGACAGTTCACACCAGCTGAGGATCTGCCCCACGACTCCTTTACTCCCAAATCCTCAGATCTAACCACTGTACCAAACTGCCTCAGCTGGACCGCACCTTGAAACAAATCTCCCCATGCGTAGGCTCTAGTGTTGTAACATACCAGTGGCTACAGGTATCAGAACACTGAAGCTGTTACCACCTAAAGAGAAGCTGCCTACAGTTGGTCTGACTCTCCAGGGAAAGTGTTTACAAGCACCGAGTTGTAAGCCCTAGAAGGTGGGAAACAAGTCATGTTCTGTGGGGAAGCACAGAAATCTGATGGGACATTACAGGAACCCCCCCTTTGAAACAAACCTGCAAAAACAACACGTTGGTAGAGTTCAGAGTGAGAATTAGGAGGCATCAAGTCCAATTATAGCTACTGTGGGGCTGATCTCTTCTGGACCAGAACAAAGCATCTTACCCTCCAATAGGGTGACCAGACAGCAAGTGTGAAAAACCAGGACAGAGGGTGGGGGGGTAATAAGCACCTATATAAGAAAAAACCCCCAAATATCAGGACTGTCCCTATAAAATCGGGACATCTGGTCACCCTACCCTCCAATAAGCAGCCAGTTCAGTTTCAGCTGAATGACCGTGACTGTTAACAGACTAACTGTTCTCTTTTAGCAGGAAATTGTGGCAGGGCAGAAGATTGCCCTTCCCCAAGACAGATGATTAGGACTCAATCTTGCTAATCATTACACTAATGTCTTGACTTAAGCCAAACTACAGCTGCAAGAGCAATTTCCTCCTGCACACTGTGGTGAGCCCTGGCAGACCTTCTGCAAGTATTGCAGCTGTCACTCCCGATCGGAGTTCCATGCTGCGGTGAGCTAATGCCCTTTGAAACCTCCTTTAACGGGTCAGAAGCCTTGTGGCTTCTGGACCTCGAGGGCTGCAGAGGCAGACGTGGCATCTTCGTTCCTAGCTCTAAATTTGTAGCCCGGGGCATGCATCTCCTCACTTCAGGGGTTCTTAATTAAACTCTTACATTTAATGAGGCCAAAATCCATTCCCCCATACAGCTTTCAGATTTCCTACTTAACACGCAATCCCCCTTGGGTTTTTTTTAAATACTTCCATACTTGTCTCTGTTCTTAAAACAAACCCCAGTCTTTCCACCATGTAACAGGGTCAGGGTACCCACCCTGAAATACTGAATACAACAGATGATCAGAGCAGGGCTATTTATTACTGTCTGCTGGGGAACTCTAGCACTGCAATCCTCTAAGTGAGCAATCAGCTCTTCAGTTATAAGCATGTGCCAAGAGAGTGTAAGGTATCTGGGTGCCATTTTTGCCCTGGCAGGAACAGGGAGCCCTGCTATAAACTCCTAGGAATAAAACCTTTCATGAAAGAAAAGAAGTGAACTCATCAAGGGTATGTCTACACTACGAGAGTAGTTCGATTTTAGTTAAATCGAATATGTGCAATCGATATTAGAAAGTCGAACGTGTGTGTCTACACTAAGGACAGTAATTCGACTTTGTCAGTCCACACTACCAGGGAAAGCGTCGACATTGGAAGCAGTGCACTGTGGGCAGCTATCCCACAGTTCCCGCAGTCCCCGCTGCCCAGTGGAATTCTGGGTCGAGCCCCCAATGGCTTCTGGGTAAAAAATTGTGGCGAGGGTGCTTTTGGGTAACTGTCGTCATCCGTCAGTCACTACCGCCCTGCCTCCCTCCCTGAAAGCGCCGGCGGGAAATCAGTTCGCGCACTTTTTGATCAGTGACAGCGCGGACGCCACAGCACTGCGATCATGGATCCCGCTGCGACCATCGCTGCAGTTGTGGCCGTTCTCAACGCCTCGCACCTTATCATACACCTTTCCCAGAGGCAGATGCAGAGAAATCAGGCGAGGAGGCTACGGCAGCGGAGTGAGGGCCTGAAGTCGGAGAGTAGCACAGAGCTGTCAGAAACCACGACACCCAGCGCCGAGGACATCACGTTTGCAATGGGGCATGTGGATTTTGTTGAACGGCGATTCTGGGCCCGGGAAACAAGCACGGACTGGTGGGACCGCATAGTGCTTCAGGTCTGGGATGAATCCCAGTGGCTGCGAAACTTTCGCATGCGGAAGGGGACTTTCCTGGAACTTTGTGAGTTGCTGTCCCCTGCCCTGAAGCGCAAGGACACCCGCATGCGAGCAGCCCTGACTGTCCAGAAGCGAGTGGCCATAGCCCTCTGGAAGCTTGCAACGCCGGACAGCTACCGGTCAGTCGCGAACCACTTTGGCGTGGGCAAATCTACCGTGGGGGTTGTTGTCATGCAAGTAGCCAAGGCAATCGTCAAGGTACTGCTGTCAAAGGTAGTGACCCTGGGAAACGCGCAGGCCATCATAGATGGCTTCGCTGCGATGGGATTCCCAAACTGCGGTGGGGCTATAGATGGGACTCACATCCCTATCCTGGGACCGGGCCACCAGGCCAGCCAGTACATCAATAGAAAGGGGTACTTTTCAATGGTGCTGCAAGCACTGGTGGACCATCGGGGACGGTTTACAAACATCTACGTCGGATGGCCGGGCAAGGTTCATGACGCTCGCGTGTTCAGGAACTCTGGTCTGTTTAGACGGCTGCAGGAAGGTATTTACTTCCCGGACCACAAGATAACTGTTGGGGATGTGGAGATGCCTACAGTGATCCTCGGGGACCCAGCCTACCCGCTAATGCCCTGGCTCATGAAGCCCTATACTGGCGCCCTGGACACAGAAAAAGAACTGTTCAACTACCGGCTGAGCAAGTGCAGAATGGTAGTGGAGTGTGCTTTTGGCCGTCTCAAGGGGAGATGGAGAAGCTTACTCACTCGCTGTGATCTCAGCGAAACCAATATCCCCATCGTTATTGCAGCTTGCTGTGTGCTCCACAATCTGTGTGAGAGCAAGGGGGAGACCTTTATGGCGGGGTGGGAGGTTGAGGCAAATAGCCTGGCTGCTGATTACGCCCAGCCAGACAGCCGGGCGATTAGAAGAGCCCAGCGGGACGCGCTGTGCATCCGGGAGGCTTTGAAAGCCAGTTTCAAGGCTGAGCAGGGTACCCATTGACTTTTAAGTTTGTGGACACAGAAGCTGAACTTGCCCCCGTTTCTTTACCCAGTTGCCGTCGACTATCCTCTCCAATTACATACCCCCTTCACCCCCTTCCCAAAAAATAAAATCTGTTCTGTTTTGTTCATGGACACCGTTGTCTTTATTACTGTTTTCACGGGAATGTTTTAAACCTGGGACGCAGACTGTGGCGGGGAGCGGGTTTAGGGTTGTGATGCAAATGATGCTTCTAAACTCCAGGAATGACAGGCTCCGCGATGGTGGACTGGTTGTTTCAACGGAGCCTGCCAGCCCTCCTGGCCGGGACTGCGTGTATGTGTCGGCTATGTGACTGTCTTGCAGGGGGAGGAGGGTTACAGATCCCCTGCTGCGCGGCTCTGTGATGCAGGGTAAGGACCGCTGCATAAGATCTGTAACTGCCCTCCCCCGCCACCAAGTCACAGAGCAACACCACCGCCCCCACCACACAGAACATGAAAACCACCTCCCAGACTGACCAGGATAACTAGTCACTGCACTGTATATGTGCCCTGCTGCTGCACCTGCCCCCTGCTAAAGGTGACTGTCCTGTCCAATGACCAAGGCCCTTCCCCCCCCCTCCAGACAGACTCCCCTCCAAAAGAAGAGGATGGAAACAGAAATGAACAGAAACGTATTCTTTATTAACAACCGCACATGGAACGGGGGGGTGAAACTTGGACGGGGTCTTGTGTGAGGCGGGTAGGAAAGGACTTTTCAAATTTTGGGGAATGAGAGCCTTCTAGTGGTAGAGCAGTCCGCAGGGGTGGAGTGAAATTTTTCCCGGCCCCTTCCACCCCTCCGTGTTTGGACTTTGGGTGAGGGGGGTATGGGACTTGGTGGCGGGGCAGGGCAGTTACAGAGAGACTGCAGCGGGGCTCTCTCCTCCTGCCTCCGGTCCTGCAGAACATCCACAAGGCGGCGGAGCGTGTCCGTTTGCTCCCTCATTAGTCCAAGCAGCGTTTGAGTAGCCTGCCTGTCCTCCTGTCGCCACCTCTCCTCCCGTTCAATGTTTGCCCGGTGCATTTGGGACAAGTTCTCCCTCCACTGTGTCTGCTGGGCTGCCTGTGCTCGGGAGCATTCCATTAGTTCAGCAAACATGTCTTCCCGTGTCCTCTTCTTCCTCCTCCTAATGTGCGCTAGCCTCTGGGCAGATGTGGCTGTGGGAATTGGAAAAAGGGAGTGAATTCCTGAGACAGAGCAATGTATCTGTGAACAGAGAACATAGTCTTTCTCTGTGAACAAGACCATGCAGAGCACCTATCACACGCGCACTGAGGACAAGGTCGAATTTTCGGCCCTCGCCTACAGTGCCTGCGGTCTTGCTGTGGCGAGCTGAGGAGCAGGGCAGGACACCGGACTTTGTCTAGATGGCAAACATGGTAAGCCGTAGACTTGTGGCCGCTTAAAACTTTAAGAGTGGCACTGGCCTCCTTTCACATAGAAAGCAATGCGAGTCTCTGCTGGCAGCAATCCTGCAAGCATGAACTCTGGCCCTGTCCCAGCCCCTCGCGGCTGTAAACCGCGTGGCTGTAAACCGGCGGTTGCAGTTCTGTAAAGGGACGGGCAAGCAGTCCCAATACTAACTTTCCCCTACCTAATTCACAGCAGGGAGTCATGCCTGACATCACCCTCCTGAAGGTCTCCGAGAGCCAGAAGGAGAAGATGCTCCGGGACAGCCTGCAGAAACCGGGGCCATTTGCTGCACTGCTGTGCAAGGCCATGATCCCGGAGTACCTGCTGGCGTTGTGGCAGGGAAACGTGTCCTACCACGGGGGGCCTAATAAGCTGTCCCTGCCCAGGAACCTGCTGATGAGGCTTGAAAAACACCTGCAGGAGGTGTATGAGGAGTTCTCCCCGGAGGATGTCGCCTCGATCCCCGGTTACATTGACCAGTTCTTGGCTTAGGTGCCCTTGGAGGGACAAATGACTGCAGGGTTTTGGGCACTATAATCATGAAGCGGACATTGTGAGATTTTTTTAAAATGGTTCGGACTATATATTGAGGCGCCCAAAGACGGAGTAATCATGATACACTTTGCACTGATTCCCCTTTTGTTTGACTTTCCTGTTTACATGTTTTTAAGCACTTTACCCACTGTTAATATTTTCAATCTTCCTGTTTTGTTGCAAATAAATGTTTACATGTTTTAAAGCACTTTAGCTACTGTTAATATTTTAAATATGCCAGTTATGTTGTAAATAAATGTTTGGATATTTAAAACACTTACTGCTTGATCCTTCCCCTGAATCTGTGTCTGGGGTAACGGCTGGGGAGGGTTGGTAGGGGATCTCTGTCAGGGTGATGAAGAGCTCCTGGCTGTCGGGCAAATCAGCGTTGTAAGCGCTGTCTACTGCCTCGTCCTCCTCATCTCCTTCCTCCTCTTCCCCGTCCGCTGAGGAACCGGCCGCGGACAATATCCCATCCTCAGAGTCCACGGTCAGGGGTGGGGTAGTGGTGGCGGCCGCACCTAGGATGGAATGCAGTGCCTCGTAGAAACGGGATGTGTGAGGCTGGGATCCGGAGCGTCCGTTTGCCTCTTTGGTCTTCTGGTAGCCTTGTCTCAGCTCCTTGATTTTCACGCGGCACTGCGTTGCATCCCGGCTGTAGCCTCTCTCTGCCATGGCTTTAGAGATCTTCTCATAGATCTTTGCATTCCGTCTTTTGGAGCGCAGCTCGGAAAGCACGGACTCATCTCCCCACACAGCGATGAGATCCAAGACTTCCCGATCCGTCCATGCTGGGGCCCTCTTTCTATTGGATTGCACGGCCATCTCTGCTGGAGAGCTCTGCATCGTTGCCACTGCTGCCACTGCTGCTGAGCTCGCCACGGTGTCCAAACAGAAACTGCGCTTCAAACTGCCCAGACAGGAAAAGGAATTCAAATTTTCCCGGGGTGTGGCTGGTCAGAGCATCCGAGCTCGGACTGCTGTCCAGAGCGTCAACAGAGTGGTGCACTGTGGGATAGCTCCCGGAGCTATTACCGTCGATTTCCATCCACACCTAGCCTAATTCGATATGGCCATTTCGAATTTAGCGCTACTCCTCTCGTTGTGGAGGATTACAGAAATCGATTTAAGGAGGGCTCTATGTCGAACTAAATGGCTTCGTGGTGTGGACGGGTGCAGGGTTAATTCGATATAACGGCGCTAAATTCGACATAAAAGCCTAGTGTAGACCAGGCCCAAGAGTCTGCACCTCTGAAGAGGGCTGGTTATAGGCAGCATGAGGAAGAAGCAGCAGCACAGCTTGCTTTGGGCTATCTGTGGTCAGGGCTCTGAGCGTAGCAAGGGGGTGGGGGCGCACATGTCCCCTCCCCATCGTTAGATGATGTTACAAGGTCTGTTGGTTAAAGCACGGGCATTGAAGTCAAGGAGATCTGGGTTCTACGCCCAGCTCTGACACAGCTGCTTTAGCAAGCCATGTCACCATTCTGTGCCTCAGTTTCCCCATCTGTAAAACGAAGACACTAATTCTTACCCATTCGGGTTTGTAAAGCACTTTGAGATCCTCTAACGGAAGGGAAAAGCGTCGTCCGTAAATTTGGGAAGGTAGAAGCTGAAGCTGAAGCACATTGCAGGTATTTTTACAAGTGACTTTGACCCCACAGTGATGGGGGAACGGACGGCAGCCAGCTCTGACAGAAAGATCAGGAAGGAACAACTCTAGACTGTGCGATACACATGAGCCCCACGGAGGGGGAGGGAGAGAGCTGCCATATAAGGACAAACCTACAGTGTTACAGCAAGGGCAGTACGAAGTCAAGGCAAGCTCTGGAAACAGAGCAGAGATTTTGACAATGGTGATCCCAATAAACCCATCCTTCAGGTCTACTTGGGACGTGGCAGGAGAAAGCAGATCAGGGTCTGGTACTAGCAGTGAGTGAAAACAATGGGCTTTTGGGAGGGAGGGAAAGCAACTGAGTTATAGTTTTAGCAGTGTTAATCATTTAAAAATACACCTCAACCTCGATAGAACGCTGTCCTCGGGAGCCAAAAAAAAATCTTACCGCGTTATCGGTGAAACCGCGTTATATCGAACTTGATTTGATCCGCCGGAGCGCGCAGCCCCGCCCCCTGGAGCACTGCTTTACCACGTTATAGCCGAATTCATGTCATATTGGGTCGCGTTATATCGGGGTAGAAGTGTACAAGAAATCAGCCCGAGAGACAGACTCTTCGAGAGACACCATCAGCTTAACGGAGGCCCCAGTATTTTAGTTTTGTAAAACAAGGCTGTACTGAGCCCAGTACGGACAAGAAATGGTCTCATGGATTGTTTGAAAACTCTCCTGTAGTGCTGGAAACACAAATACAGCTTCCTGCTAAATGCATCAGAACCAGAAAGTGAAACCCATTAAACACACAATGAGACTAACCAGTCTACTATCACCACAGAAGGCAAGCCAGGGTGCATAAAAATAGATTTAAAAAAAAAAAAAATCAGATTTTATTCAGCGTAAATATTTTTTTTAAAAAAAAACCTATTTAAAATTAAATTTGAAATGATAACCTATATTAAAAGCCTAAACTTACTATAGTCTATTAACATCATTTAATTTAAATAAAAATATAATCTTCAAGCAATACGTATTTGCTGTGGAAGTTTTAAAGAAAGTCAAACCAGTGAACTGGTGGCAGTCACTGGCTAAGCACCTGGAACCAGAGTCTGTTGAAGTGCTCAACACGGTTTTGACTGACAGCAGCCTCTTTTGCAGGTTCAGAGAGAATATTTTCTTCATTTCAGTTTATTCAACTACTTCAGTTCAATAACTAGGTTCATGCAAAGTAGAGAAACCAATTGGGAGCAGGAAAGCTTGTTTTCCTTTTCCAATCTGTGAATAAAAATGGAGGTTTGGGCAGATGAGAACTACTAGTTCTAAAATCTTGAAGGACATGGTGACCAGAAAAAAAATCAGCTCACTCAACGCTTCCCTGATTTAGTAAATCAGTTTTAAATGTAAACCATGTGTGGACCCAGCACATTTCAGATTGTTTTATTTAACTAATTAAAACAATTGAAAATACTGGTTTTGTGCATTTTTAACGCAATTCCAATTTCCATCCAAACGCAGCCTGACACAAATCACCACACACAAATCATCAACCTGGTAAATAAGAATGCATCACTCACCATTTTCTAACATGATAAAAATGTAAAAATTAAGAAACTAAATAAGCATGTTAAGCTATATAATTGCTTAAATAAATGTGTATAGATATAGCGTATCCTCGGTTTCCTGCTTGCTGATTTAAATCAATCTGCCTCAAGGCAAGATGTTAATTAACATTATCTTGGTTTTAATAATTTATCCCCCAAACACTTATGCATGCATATGACTTTAAACCCACAAGTAGTTCCATTGATTTCAGTGGCATTATTCATGTGCTTAACCACATGAGTAGTTGTAGGAACATGGCCACAAGTGGGTCTAAGGAACCAGTATCAATTTTGTTTAAAATCTCACCTACATCACTAAAGAAATTAGAACTGTGAAAAGCTGATTTATTTCAAGTCTGTACACATCCACGCCCAGAGTAAACCACCACAATTACCACAAAGAAGCTTACCTCGGCTGGCTTTGGACTCAATTTTTTTTACGTCTGGGTTGTAAGTATGTACATTAACGTGAGCAAAGGAGGATTTCGAACCAGCTTTGCAAGAAGCAAACAGCACTAGCCGGGCTGCACTACTCCGCCTCCTTCCCTGGGCACAGAGGACATTTTACTTTGCCCTAATCAATGTCGCAACATCAGTATCATTCACCTGCTTTCCAAACGTGAAACCTTTCTGATCAAAAGCCCTGCTTACTTACAAACGAGTGACGGGACATTTTTGGAGGGATTCCATCCAGCTCTGTTGCCCCATTGGGTCCTGACCCATCTTTTCTTCTCTTCCGGGAATTCAGCCTGGACGAGCTTGGTGGCTCCATCACAGGAGAGGTGCTTGGCAAGGTCTTTCCAGCAGACTAGAAGAATGAAATAAAGAACAAGAAATAAGAGGTATTTCACTCCAGAAGGGCTAAGAAACCAGCCAACGGGCACTGTGTACAAAAGATCAGCCCAAAGGCACCTGAACAGGAGGTCTAGACAGTTGCATCAGGTGTCAAAACTTCTTGACAAACCGTGTTCGATGGGAACCCTGAATAATTTCTCTCTGCAGAGCAGCTCCTAGTCACAGGAATGACGAGAGGGTAACACTCAACTGGCTGGACAGAAACTCCCTCACACAGGAGTTGCAATATGAGTGATGATATCATTAGCATGAAGCTAGTTATGCTATTTTAGTATCTGAGTGGCAGGCCAAAGATTAAAATATGCCCAGTCCACATGTCTGAAGGGTAACTGTGTACAATTTCCCAGCACTCATTTCAATGATAAACTGGATGCACAAAAAGAACCCCCACACAACAAGACAGCTGATGGGTAAAGCTGGATTTCCTTTTTTGGGCGGCGGGGGGGGGGGAACCTTGCCCATGAACTAAATCATGACTAGGCTATTTGCAGTGAGCTCTCAGCTGTTAACTTCCCATATGCCAGGAATGCAAGGAAGCCCTACATTGCTTGCTGGTGAAGTGGAACTAGGCGTTTACATGAATGGGTAACCCTGGAAAATCTCAGCTCCAACTGCCACAAGATTTAAAAGCAGATGCTGGATTTGCACATTTGTGACTAAAGACTGAGTTGAAGTTTTTCCTTTACTAAATCAGCTATATGCAGATCCCAACATGGTCATTTGCACTTCTGAATCGCCTCTCGTCAGAGAAGACTGGCATGCCTGGGAAATATGGTTCACACACAAGTCTAGAAACCCTAGTAATAAATGCTCTGTGGATTTAGGACTCTGCCCCCCTCACATGCAGTGGGTGTCCTGGAACTCTTTGTAGGGAGTGTCTGGATTGATGGCGAACCTACTGCAGGAAGAGAGCAGGCTACCCCATCACTTGAACGCTACCCCGTCCCTCCGTGAAGCATGTGATTGTATATTCTCAATCGCTGCAGAGTATCACTGCTCAGTGACACCTACTGGACGACTTAACATAAAGTGGTGTTGGATGAAGCTCCATCAGCCAGATCCCACAACAGCTTTTTGAAAGGCAGGCTTTTAAAGGGACAACTATTGGTGGGCACTTTAGGAGCACAGATGACTCTGTTTGGGAAAGTTCCAGAGTAGTGAGTCAAGCAAAGATAAAAGACTACTTAAGACATGGAGACTAGAGCTGTACTTTATAACAGTCCCAATTTAGATTCAACATTGCCTTACGCAAGGTTATGTCAGCAAAAATGGCCAATGTGGTTTTGGGTAGGGCTGACTGAAGGGCGACAATTCTGGTTTGTGGCAACGTAGAGATGTTTTTTCATTCCACGTTGGAACAAAACTATAAACTTTCTCACCGTTTTGGGGAAAGCGTGCGAGTGTGAGTGACAATGCACCAGCCAGGCAGTCAGGCCACTGGTGTGGATGTGGGACACGCAGGTTCATGTCCTGGGTCTGGCTGATTCAGAGTGCTCTGGGATGAAAAGCTCTGCTCTGAATCAGGTTTCTCACATCCCGCGTCAGTGTCCAAACCATCAGACTACAGTGTGACAGTCTTCGTGTCAGTCTCCCTCCTTCCAGAACCAAAAATCTTTTAGACAAAGTCTGCATCGGAAATGTTCTGACCAGCTCTAGTTTTGGGCTGAACGCGTAACAGCATGTAGTTCGACAGAGAGACAAACTCTCCCTCGGGATTGCACCTGGACCACTACGTTCAGCTGTAGGCAGCTCGATATCAGAGAGGGAGTCCAGAGAAGAGAACCTGAGATCTCAGGGGACTGGAGGAATAAAATGATGGCTAACAGGGAACAAAGCCATCTGCAAGTACAGGAGGGAGAGTAAAGCCCAAGCAGGGACAAATCATTTCGAGCAGTGCAAGGGGGCACAGCAAGGAGCAATGGAATCAAATTGAGGGGAAATCTAAGCAGAATGTCAGGGGGGAAATTCATGATACTGAGATTATTAGATTGTGGGACAGTCTCTAGGAAGCCCTGGCACCTGGGCCTGGATGAGGCACTTGGAAGTGTGCTATAAGGATCAGTCCTGTGCCAAGAGGAAGATGGGCCAGATCAGCTAATATCGCTACTCTAGTGTTCATTCCATTTTAACATTCATCTGACAACGCTTAGGAGTGATTTTTGGTGAGCGTCCCATTATTGGAGTGGATATTATTTTATAGCACCCACAAGTGCGGTAGGGTGCTACAGAAGACGTACCAAGGCAGCCCCAGCCTCAAAGAGTTTACAGCCCAAGCCCTGATTCTGCATGCGCTTAACTTGAAGCACGATGGTAGTGCCAGGTCTTAAGAGTTTTCTGGGAAGTGGTTAGGGCACTTCGGGATGCTATAAAAACACAGTTCCCCCCGCCTACAGTCACTGCAAACACAAGCGCTGTGAAACACAGGCGGTGCACATTTCGTAAGGCATTACCAGCGGAGTATGCCCTTCATAGTAGATAGTCACTTCACTGGTTCAGCAACCAGTGCCCAGTTCATGAAAAACAAAGTGACCTGGGTCAGTTTTTCAAATAACTTGAATATTCATTAACCTGACTGGAGAGCCGACGTCATACTTTCTTTTATGGCTTTGGGCAGAACAACCTGACACTGTGCTTAAGCATCCCATTCTCTGTCCTGTCACTTTCTTCATCTCCGTCAACCCCAGCAGCTGATACAATAGTCCCTACTGAGTACAACATTAAAAGTCCACGGAGTTGGCCAGTGCTGCTTTAAGCTGACAAACATCAGGCTTTATCTAACCATAGGCATTATCAACCCACTCAATTTCTGAAAAGAATGTGCTCTCCTTAACATAGCAGCCTGCCTAGGAGTGATCTCAGAGTGACTCAGATTTCCATTCGCTGTATTGAAACCGGTGCGCGTAGGAGCGCACATGCGCTCCTTGCTGTGATACTGCAAGTGTGTTGCTGCCCGATGTAAAGGCTACCACAAGTCAAAGAACTGAAGTTCCTCCAATGGGCAATGCTGTTTTATTGATTTCTGCATATGGAATGAGTGACTGCCTGCGTTCAGGGCTAAACCTATCTATCCCATCTCTCACGTGTGTCAGCGCCTCTTCACCATTCACTCTCCCTTTTGTGTTTCCTCCCACGTACACTCATCCCGGTGCCCACCTGACTCATCTCTTTTGGTGCACATCCTTCTCCTCCCTCCCACTTTGGCTAAGGGAGCTCGGTGGAGAGCAGCACCCCTGGGTGATGGGGTGGGTCAGCAGGGGACATGCCCACCCATCCACACAGCTTAGGGAAAAACCCGCTTTAGGGTGTGCCTATGCTACAATTAAAAACCTGCGGCTGGCCCGTGCCAGCTGACTCAGGCGCGGGCTAAGGGCATGTTTAATTGTGGTGTAAATATCCTGGATTGGGCTGGAGCCTCGGTGCTAGGACCCTGCAAGCTGGGAGGGTCCTAGAGCTCAGGCCGCCTCAGCCCAAATGTCTACACTGTAATTAAACAGCTCCTTAGCCCGAGTCAGCTGGCATGGGACAGCGGCGGGTTTTTAACTGCAGTGCAGACATACCCTAAGGCCATGTCTACTAAGTTTTGTCGACCTACGTGGAAGCGTAGGTATGGCCTCAGACAAGGATTCAAGTATGCACTAGCTGCACCAATGCCAAGCATCAGATCCAACTCTCACTGGAAATCAGAGGGAGCCTTTCCAGTCACTTCCAGAAGAGCTGGACTGGACACGCAAAGAGCAAGCACAATTCCCGTAGACACAAACGTGAATGCAGCTATTTGACAAAGCAAATTTTGCAATATTCCAGGCGTCAGAACTCCACTTGCCTGTGGTGGGTGAGACGTTTCCCCAGTGAGTGAGAGCTTTTAGCAACTAATTTCGGCAGAATTTAAGCTTCCATTGAAAAAAAAAGGTTCTTGCTCTTCTGGCTGCAAAGAAAGCCTTCCAAACGTGAACAAATGATTATTTATATCATCGTAGCGCATAGGAGCCCTTGTCACAGATCAGGACCAGTGGATGCTGTGTAATCTCTGATCCTAAAGACACAAATCTGCAGGGCTGAGAGCAGCATTTTGTTAACTTCACCTCACAGCTAGCCTTAGGCAGCGTTACAGCAGTTTAGACTCCATAATGAAGATCTGCCCCCGCTCAGCAGCCAGGGAAGAAACGCCTTTCATCCAGCAGCTAGAATGGGGTGGGAATGTCAGATGATGAGACACTGGCCAGAGGCTGATGATGTTCCCCTCCTGGGATTCAGAGATGGCAGCACCCACAGAAGTCCTGGCAGCCTCCCTCTCTCCAACAGCTGGGTTTGCAGCAGGGTCCTGCTGGGTCTCTCCTCCCCAATCTTTCATCTGTACCTCTGGCTAGCAGGTTTATGGTGAATCTTCAAGCTCTGCATTAGCGTTGTTAAGAACCGGAAAGATCTTGCACTAAAAGGAGTCACTGTGATGCAGTTACTAATCTTACAGCATTTATTTAGACACGAAGGACTAAAATAACACCATGACCCATCAGTTAATGTTGATTGGATCCAACATCTGTATCACAGCTTAGCACATGCTCTCTCTCGTTATTCTTGGAATGCTTCAATGTTCTACAATTAATTACACTCACGGTGGATAGGGGCTTTCCTTTCAAAGCTTCATTTTAAATTCTTTTCGGATCATATCTGGTATGATCAAAAGGAAAAGCTCTTTTGCAAAGTTTTAATACTGTTCTGTTTTATGAGCAAGTTTTTGGTTTAAAACACCCCACTGCATCATTTGCTCCACGTTAGGCAAGAGAACTGGCTCGTTAGGAGGGAGGTTAGAAACCACTCTAATAAAGCAAGCCCCGCAGGACAAGCAATCTTGCCCGCTGGGCGAGCAGCACGTTCAGTTTCAGGTTGAGGGCATGGGACGGTCTTGCATTGCTTTTCAACAAGCCTTCCCGTGGCAGAATAGTTTGATGGGATCTACAAGAAGTTGAATATCTGATGGCAGGACTATTCAGCCCCCGCTGTACAACAAAAGCACGGCATGCTGCGTCTTGAACGGTGCAAGACAAGGGGGGAAAAAAGGGAATCCTCTTTAAACTGTTGAAAATACCCTTCAAGGATGCCCAAGTCCATTACTGATACAAATGCTACAGAACTCAAGTCACCCACCACAGAAACACAGCCACAT